TTTGTAGGTGACAACTAGCACCTTGAAGCGTACCCGGAGATCAACAGGCAGCCAGTGCAGCTAGCGGAGGATAGGTGTTATGTGGGTAAACCAAGGCGCACCCACAATCGCTTGCGCGGCTGCATTCTGGACTAGCTGAAGTCGCCGAATACTCTTCAAGGGCAGCCCCATGTAGAGCACGTTGCAGTATTCCAGTCTAGAGGTCACAAGGTCCATCCCCTTCCCATCCCCACCCCACCTTTTCTCCTCCTCCAGGTCTCCCAGCTGGCCCAGTACTTTGAACCCCTGGTCATGGCTGCGGTGGGTGCAGCCTCCAAGATGCTGAACCACCAGCAGCAAATGAACCTTCTGGACCAGACCAAGACCCTGGCGGAGTCCGGCCTGCAGATGCTCTACACAGCCAAGGAGGCCGGGGGAAACCCCAAGGTACCCGGGGGGGGGCGGCACTGGAGGCGTGTCTGAGGACGGAGGTTGCGGGGGGTGCCGGGGTCTGACGGGGGCCTCTCTCTGCAGCAGGCGGCCCACACGCAGGAGGCCCTGGAGGAGGCGGCGCAGATGATGAGGGAGGCGGTGGAAGACCTCACGGCCACCCTGAACGAAGCCGCCAGCGCTGCGGGAGTGGTAGGCGGCATGGTGGATTCTATCCGGCAGGCCATCAACCAGGTGAGCAAGGAAGCCACGGCCCGGCCTCCCTCGGGCCAATGGGCCTCCTTTCTGGGCAGCCCCTGTGCCCGACTTCCCTTGGCACCACAAGCCTTGCCAAAGCAGCTTTGTAGGGGGGGGGGTGCAGGCGGAGTCAGAGGGGCTCAGCTGAGAATCTTGGAAGCATTTGCTGTCCAGTCTTTTGGGGCGCTAAAGTCGCCCCCGTCGGCCACCTTGCCTGCCCCTCCCGCATCAGGGCAATCTTTGCGTCAGCCAAAAGAAAAGCCGTGGGGAGGATGTGGGGGGGGGACGAAGGGCGTATGCTGAGAAGCAGGTCAGCAGCCCCGCCTCCTGGGCTCTCTCCTTCCCTTGGGCAGCTGGACGAGGGCCCGATGGGGGAGCCCGAAGGCACCTTTGTGGACTACCAGACCACCATGGTGAAGACGGCCAAGGCCATCGCGGTGACGGTGCAGGAGATGGTGAGCTGATTGGATGACCTCTTTAGGGAAGGGTGGATGTTGGGCACGAGAGCTGAGGGACGGGCTGCCATGCAGACCCCCTGCCAGAGCCCAGGCCTGAGCCTCCCCACCCCCCAATTCCTACCTCCTGTCTTACGCTGCCGCCACAGGTGACCAAATCCACCACCAACCCAGATGAACTTGGCATCCTGGCCAACCAGCTGACCACGGACTACGGGCACCTCGCCCTGCAGGCCAAGCCCGCTGCCCTCACAGCCGAGAATGAAGAGGTGAGTCTGGGGAGGGGAGGGCCTTGGAGGTGGTCTTGGCAGGAGCATTCAGAGTCTGCTGCAGAGACCCTGGCAACAGAGCGCGCGCCAGGCAGTTCGAATTCCTGGGGTGGGGGAAGAGGGCAGGCTGGCACAGTTCTGCCTCTGTCTGGAGGAAACCTCCCTGGCGAGTCGCTTCTGCCTGTTCCTATCCTGGCTCAACAGGCATAGAAGCCCAGGGCAAGGGAGACGGTGTTGAGTCGGGGAGCTCCTAAGGGGGTTTATGGAAAAGGAGCGTACCACGTTTCCCCCACCTCACCCCGAGGCTTTGCATATAGCCAAAGTAATTATAATGGTCACTTCCACCAAATATATGTAATGTAATGAGTTAAATAGATAAAGAAAGAATTTAAAAAAAGGATGTTGGGTGGCTTGAAGAGCCGAGGTGGCGCAGTGGTTAGGATGCTGTACTGCAGCCACTTCAGCTGACTGTTATCTGCTGTTCAGCGGTTCTAATCTCACCGGCTCAGGGTTGACTCAGCCTTCCATCCTTCCGAGGTGGGTGAAATGAGGACCCAGACTGTGGGGGAGATATGCTGACTCTGTAAACCGCTTAGAGAGGGCTGAAAGCCCTATGAAGCGGTATATAAGTCTAACTGCTATTGCTATTGCTATTGCTATACTGCTTCACAGTGCTTTTACAACTCTCTCTAAGCGGTTTGCAGAATCCGTATTTCTCCCCCACAGTCTGGGTCCTCATTTCACC